GTGTGTGTGTGTGTGTGTGTGTGTGTGTGTGTGTGTGTGTGTGTACGCTCCATCCCGTGGGAAAGGCCTCTGGCTGTGAGAGTGTAATGATGCGTAAGCTGCCCTTTCAGCTGAGCTCCTCGGCAGCACAAATTAAAAAAATGAAACAAAATTCCTAAAATAGAATTTATTGCTCTCAGTTCTTAATAGACAGATAAGGCTGTTTTTAATTTTAGGAAAAAAACAAGGTAAAAGAGCTAAAAAAACAACAAAAGCAGGAAATTCCAGGAATTCATTATAGCTGGGGTTAAAACTTAAGCTTTTTTTGTCTCATTTGTGTAAATTTACTTGCTTAAAAGAAGATTTAATAAGATTTACATGTAGTTTTTAACAGCTTATAATCATCTGTTGAAGTTTTTATGTGTGTTTTTTTGTGTCTCAGGTTGCAGGAAGAGATGGGCCTCCGTCAGGATGCGGAGAGCAACTTGAACACTTTCAGACAGGTAATCCCTGTTCTTCCTGAGTTTTTACGGTAAATGTCTGAGATTTGAGCGTTTTCTGCCTGTTTGAGGTCATCCCTCTTCCTCTGCGCAGGACGTGGACGAAGCAGCTCTCAACCGAGTCCAGCTGGAGAGGAAGATTGAAGCTCTGCAGGATGAGATCATCTTCCTGAAGAAGGTKCACGAGGAGGTGAGAAAACATCACATTAGAGGTTAAAACGCTCTGATCTGAGTGACTGGATGATCCTCACTGGATCAGGGAAACAGGTAAAACATGCAGGACAGGGGCCTCTTGAGGGGCGGAACCAGAGGGGTGGCCTGGCACCTGATTGACCACCTCAAATGATTGACAAGCMAGGTGGGGCTTGCGTGTGATGGGATTTAATGAGAAACTTTTAGCGCTAGCTTAGTTAGCTTTTAGTACATCATGAGGGTTGCTCTTGGCTATCACCATTCCAAATTTCAGCTCATTATTTATAAAAATAGCTGAGTTGTAGTCATTAATTAGCTTTGGCAGCCATCTTGGATTTTTTTTAATCTCAGCTGTGTGTTTAAAAATGGCTAAATTATAGCCTTTTGTGACAATCAATGATTTATCTTTTATCCATCTTGAATTTCCACCTTGGCCACCCCATGCAAAAATGTTTAGCTCCGCCCCTGCTCTCCAGGACCAGCATTTGACCCCCTCTGGTTCAAACTGAAGGCTAAAAGTTGATTTATTTATTTTTTTGTAACTGTCCACCCGTCAGGAGCTGCGTGAGCTCCAGGAGCAGATCATGGCCCAGCAGGTCCACGTGGACCTGGACGTGTCCAAACCAGACCTAACTGCAGCTCTGAGGGACATCAGAGTCCAGTACGAGAACATGGCCACTTCTAACATGCAGGAGACCGAAGAATGGTACCGGTCCAAGGTCAGGAAGCTCAAATGTGACCCATCACATCAAAATGAGGATTAAGTCAAATTTGGTCAAAATGACCTAATCATATTTTCAGATTCTTGGCTTTAAAAGCTACATTTTACACTTAGATCATCCTGATATCATTAGTAGATCCAGAGATATTTGTTTTGTTGGTTACAATAATACATAAATATTTGGTCTAAATCCTAATTTTATGTAATTTTAATGAAGATTTTTTTAGGTCATTTTAAAAAAGAAACCAAGTATTTGAATATTGAGATTTTCCCAGCTGGAAATAAATAAATCTTTGATAGCTCACAGGGAAAATCTCAACATTTTAAGGCGTTTTTCCTCAAAATCTTTTTTTTTTTTTTTTTTTTTTTTTGGTTGCTAATGCTCAAAAAAGTGCTTCAAAAAATTTATTTAGGATAATATTTCAGACAGTTCATTGAAATGATGTATTGATTTTGTAATATATTTAAAAAATGTAATTTTGCAATCGTCTTAATCAAAACAATATCAGCCTATTTCTCCACATATAACTTTTAGACATAATCCTTATTTTGATGTGATGGATCACAAATATCACTTTATTTTTTAAATATTATTGGATATAACGATGTTTGTGTGTACATCTCACATATCTTCTATTCTCTTTTTCAAATTTTTCCCATTACATTTCTCCTTTTTATCTTTTTCTTGTTCTCTAAATTTACTTCTTTTAAAAAAAAGTATATACAGATGTGTTTTTTGTTCACAGTTTGCTGACCTGACGGACGCAGCCAATCGGAACGCAGAAGCTCTGCGTCAGGCCAAACAGGAGGCCAATGATTACCGGCGTCAGGTCCAGGTGCTGACCTGTGAGCTGGATGCTCTCCGTGGATCGGTACGTTCATCGAACCCTAAAAACAAAGAGTTTATTTTTCCTCTTTAGTTTGAGGTTCACAAACGGATGCGTATTTATTTTTCAGAACGAGTCTCTGGAGCGGCAGCTGCGGGAGCTGGAGGACCGCTGCGCCCTGGAGACGGCCGGGTACCAGGACACGGTGAGCCGCCTGGAGGAGGAGATCCAGGCCCTGAAGGAGGAGATGGCCCGGCACCTGCAGGAGTACCAGGACCTCCTCAACGTCAAGCTGGCTCTGGATATCGAGATAGCCACCTACAGGAAACTCCTGGAGGGGGAGGAGAGCAGGCGAGCCTCGCAGACTGCTCAAATTTACATTTATGTAACAGTTTTTACTTTTTAATTTTTTTTTTCCTCCTTTAGGATCACCATTCCAGTTCAGAGCTTTGCCAACCTGCAGTTCAGAGGTCAAAATCAAAACTTTTTCTTGTCTTAAAATGTTTTAAACATGTTGAGAACTACAGCGAAACTCGTTTCTTTCTCTTTCATTTGTTGTTAGAAACTAATCTGGACACTAAAACCCCGGAGGCCCACGTGAAGAGGAGCATCCTGGTTCGAACCGTGGAGACCAGAGATGGAGAGGTGTGTTCGTTCATCCTGCACTTCTCTTCTTTTACCTCCGGGTGGCACCGTCGAGCCTCTTCTGCAGTTGTTTGTTTATATTTATTTTTTAAATCTTGTTTTTATTCCTTTCAGATCATTAAAGAATCAACCACGGAGCACAGAGACCTCCCTTGAACTTCAAAGAGCGGCAATCTCATCGTGTCCTCTGCCATAATCAGGATTATGGATTAATTATTCCTTTAAACTTCATCATCAGTTGCTTTCTAACTCACGTAACAGACTGAAAACTGTCAGAAACACGGCTTCAAACTAAAGTAGTCATTTTAAATCACCTGCAGACGACTTCCAGTTAACCTGAGCTGACAGATGAGATTATTTCAGCTTTGATCCTTGTTAGAAAAGGCCTTGAAATGTAGCGATCGTGTTTATCAAATATATAGCTTTGTGCAGGTTGACGTGTGGTTCTGTGTACGTGGAAAAAAAAGGTGGGCTGGAGGGTGAGTTGTGCGATTTGCAAAAACTAGAAACAGGGTTTAGGCAAGCAAGGGAAGAAAAGTACGTTAAAAGTATGTTACTGCAGCTTTTGACAGAAAGGAGTTTTTAAAGATGTTGATCTGGTGCTATATTTGTTGTTGTTTATTTTATTTTTTATGATCTCGTTTTCTTCAGGAGCTTCTTGGAGACGAGCCTTAATGTATCCAAAGTTCTGCATCGTTTATTAACCGTGTTCATCTGTGACGTCTCGTGTTTCTGTGTGAATAATTCTACATCATCCTCCTAATAAAGACGTGACACATTTAGGCACCACGAAGTGTCGGGTTGAGACTCTTATTGTGAAAGGCCACCTTTGACCTCCAGACCCTGCAGTGTTTACATTAAAGGTGCTCATCGCTACAAGTCATAAAGACCTGACAGAAATTAATAAATTATATATATAATATATATAAATCTGAACCTAATATATCCAATGTTGATGATTATTGAAGCCTTAATTGCTAAATCTGTTACCAGTTGTGTTTGTTTACCTGCAAAAACGGCTGAAAACAGATATATTTTTCTCCTGACTCGTTCTTTTACATTTACACCTAAATGTTTTCCTACGCTTGTTTATTTGTTTACCTGCACAGACCAGCCTAACGAAGGCCGACACGTGACTCTGTTCCAGCTGAGTYCTTTGTTTACGTTGAACGCAGACCCGCGTTTCGGAATTACGTATCTGTTAAACCGGAGTGAGCTCTTTCAAACCGTTCAGGATGACCTTTTTATTATGTTTTTGTGATGTTTGGTGAAAGCTGCAGCTCTGACCTGAAAGTTTTGAGTTTTGAAGTGGAGGACGCTCATCCAGGCTCTGGGTTTTTTTATGGTTGGAGGCTGTGAGTGAAGCTGACAGGCTCTGCTGCTAACGAGACTGACAAGCTGACTGTGTTTGTGTTCGTCACCAAGGACACCGAGAGCTCGGCCTCCCCTTCATCCCCTCGTCTTCCTCCCAACGTCTCTGTTTTTTTTGTGTGTGTTTTGTTCTTTTAGGAAACCTTTTTTTTAGTATATTTGACTTTAACATAAGTTTGCTTTGATGTTAACAATAAAAGATGTTCTTTCCTGGAGGCGTCCTCCTGGCAGCTCGTGTGTTTACGGTTTGATTTCTTCGCCTTTTGGTTTGAACGTGACATATCCACGCAGCAGATCACAGCTCATCTCTGCGGCGTGAGCGTTACAAACGCTGACAGTCCTCTCCGGTGGTATCAGAGGGGACCAGGGGGCCGGAAACTGATTGTTTCTGGGCTTCAGGCAGAGCCGAGCCGGTGGGTTCGCTTCTTATAACGTCACATTTTAATGTAACTGCAGCTGTACGGGCTCATCCGTTAGCAGAATGTTGGAGATTTTCTTTAAATGACAGTTTATTCAGAGCTTGATTCATTTGGGTGTTAAAAGCAGCTTTCACATGATAAAATCACTCATCATCCTGAAAGTGACAACGAATATGTGACACCGCAGCATTAACCAGTGATTAACGGGAGTAAATGGAAGCTGTAGGGGTTGAAATACTTAAAATTGACCTCAGGCATTCAAAGGAAAAGGTGAACAATAAAAACTTTTAAGTTCTTAAAAAGACTTCATAAAGAGATGATTAAAGCTCAGAAGTGTGATGAAACTTAACATCTTCAGTTTTGCCCCAACATGCCCTCATTTTTTTTAAAGTAAACTGGTTAATTTGGTGTTTAATATGAATAATTTTCAAATATTTGACTATTTTTTGACTTTTAAAAGTACAAAGTAAAACTTAAACCCTGGAAATTATTGAGAGCCAGGTGTAAAATGAAATGTTAAAAAAATTCCACTAACGTATTTTTCAATATTTAGCTCACTTTTTGAGTGTTAAAAGCTTTCCAATAAAACTTCCTTTTTAGCTCACTGTTCTTACATTTAATTTTTACTAAATGTTAAATTTAAATGTTAAAAGAATATATTTAAATATAAAATGTAGATTTTAAATATTATCTTCAGCAGCGTGGCTATCGCGCCCATTGTTGATGTTTGTCGCAGGATGATGACATCATACTGGTTATCTGAAAATAACTTCTGCTGAAGATATTTTTAAAAAAATCAAAATTTAAAATGTGTTCACAAAAGATTATATGGGTGGTCCAGCAGTTTGAAATGCAGCTCAGATACCAGCCATAACTGCAAGTTTGATGTCTTGTAGGGAAGCTTTAGCTGCATTACAGCGCTAGCAGACAGTTGCTATTGTCTCGGGATGATGATGTCATAACATGAGTCAAGCACCAACAGCAAAGGCTGCATTCCATTCCAAAATACCTAAATGTGAACATTTAATGTTTAACTTTTACTTGAACATTTAAATATTTAGATTTACTATTTAAATATAGTTTTTAACATTTAAATTAAACATTTGGTTAAAAAAATTAGCTAAATAATGAAATGTATGTTAGTAAAATTGTTTAACGTTTGATTTTACCCAATGTAAATTACCTTGTTTTTCGTCTCTTTCTGCAGTCAGATGAGTGCAGCTGTGAGTTCATACCTCTTATCACAGGAATGAAGGGGGCTCGGGGGTCTGAGCTGAAGGCGACCCTGAGCCGAAGGAATTCCAGGCAGATAAAAACTCTCAGCTGGTCGAGAGTTCCCGAACCGTCCTTCTCCACGAGAACGAGAAGTGAGCCGTTTATCTGAGGTGTGAAGTGACTGCAGATGTCATGAATGTAAAGATGAATAAAAACGGCCTGCAGCGGTTTTAACTCATGAGTTTTAATTAATATGAAGCAAAAAGCTTACAAATCACTGTTGTTGATGTTTAGAAACTAAAATCTAAACCACATTTATCTGCAAAAAATGTGTTTCTAATCAGTTTCAGGTGAATTAATCAAGTTTTTATGTTTTTCACTGCCTTCCTCTTACCAGGCTCACAGGAAGGCATCTGCGCTCTTCGGCTAATTTTAACCCTCATCAGCAGCAGCACTGTTCAAACAAAACACAGCTCAAACAACTCAAGCAAAAAGAGAAGCCAGATTTCCTCTGGTCTTTGAACGCACCTTATAGTCACTCAACACCTTTGTACATGTACAAAGTGGATTTTTTTTTACGCAATACTTTTTGCAGCAGTTATTCTCTGTGCTTTTAACACAATGTTGAGTCAGCATTTTTTTGCAATCTAACTACTAATTTTTTTAATTTACTTTTTTTAACAATTCATACATCAAAACCCATTGATGTATCATTATAATAATCATGTACCATCATTCCAGAGATGGCTGCTACCTC